TTTTGTTATTAATACAAAACAATACATGTTTACTGTGGAATAACAGATAAGCAGATACTATAGTTGCATCATTTATACAACAAAGCATGAATATCCTAGAGTTTCTTTGCCCAGACCTTTTTTATCCATATGAGTATTTTTTTATTGGAATGGAACTATTTGCAGCCTTTTCCTTTGTTCATTTACGGATAATAAATATTAACATACATGGTAAATCTTAGTGGCTGCAGAGCATTCTTTTGTATAAACATACCATAATTTATTTAATCATTCTCCCTTAGATGAACCTTTAGGTTGTTTCCACTTTGGGACTATTATACAGAACACTGTATTGGAATGTTTGTGCATATCCTTGCTATTTCTTTAATAATATTTGGTTGGTAGAATGCAAGAAGAGGGATGATAGTTTCTTAATGCTTGGAAGGGGACTGTTCCTCAGCTCCATTAAACTAGAGATTCCATTAGGCATCTGAACCCTGGAAGATTTTGTGATGTGTACCTTTTTCTTGGGTTAGGGTCTACAACTTTTAGATTCTCAGAGATGTCTAAGGACCTAAAGTTGTTGAGGAACTGGTGTTGCAGCCAGGTTTTCTGCCATTTCCTTGTTCATGGAGCCTCCCAAGATCAGTTGCGTAACTGAGGCAGGTGATATTCTGTTTTCAGATATTTTTGAGTAAGCTGTGTTAGGCACTGGAAAGGTCCAAAGAAGATAGTCCCTTTCTTCAGTGAGCTTACTATATGTGTCATGGTTTACCACATGAACAAAGACATCTGCTGGGAACCCTTGCCTTGGTGCTTCCTTGCTGAACAGAGGTGAACCCGAAGAATTCATTTCTTTTCAAGGCCTTCCACAATCTTTCTTTACTGGTCCTCTATCTGATGATGATGATGAAGATGATGATGATGATGAAGAAGAAGAAAATGAAGTTGAAGGAGAACAGTGAGGAAATGAGGAAGGCTGATTTTTATTGAAAGTATACTCTATGCCAGGCATTGTTCTCAGCCTATGAGGAAGTATTATTTATTATCCTCCACAGTGAGGTTAATTTGCTTGCTCAAGGTCACTCAGGGAGTGGCAGTCTGAATCTGAGTCTGTCCAGTTCGCTTCCACAGCTTACCCACCTAACCACCATGATTCCATGCTTCTCACACTTCTATCAAATTGGGTGCACTGACCAAATGTTTCTGTGGACCAGAGTCCCACTGTTGACTCTGTTCAAAGCAGTTTCCTTTCTGTAAGACTTTTACTTCCTCTCCATTTGTAGAAATTCTGCTGCCTATCCTCCAGGAAGCTTATTCTCCCCAACCCCACCTCCCCTTTATCTTTTTTTTTTTTTTTTTTTTACTTCTGGCTTGTTTGTAGCTTGCACATGATATGCACACTGACCTTGTGATAGAGGCTGTCAAAGGTGTTGGGTTGGAAAGAACAGGACCTCTGGAGTCAGACAGACTTGAGTTAAAATTCCAGTTTTGCAGGTCATTTACTTCCTTAAGGGTCAGATTTCCTCTATGGGGATTGAGAATCAAATGAAATTATTTAAAGTGTCCTGCTTGGCAAATAGTGGGTGTTCAGGAGGTGACAGCAGTGGTAATGGTATATCCAAGTTGTGGTTTGTACAGTGATCTGGGCTATCAGATAATGTGGAGGACTTTTCCTCCTAAGTATTCCTCCCCAGTGCCCCTTGGCTTCTTCTTTCCTTTATAAAGTAGTTCTTTCCTGTCTTAAAGACTTAGCTCCATTGCCAGCTCCTCCAAGTTTTTCCTGATGGTCCAGGCTGGGTTCCCTTTGTCTCCTCTATGTGCTCTCCCACAGTATCCATGCCACCCCTTATCACAACACTGTAGTGTCATTGTCTTTTGAGTCCATTGTCCCCACTCAGGTGTGAACAGACTGAAGGCAGAATGACTCCTTATCTCATTCATCTCTGTATTCTCAGTGTCTGTGGCACAGACATCTGGGAGGATCACTGTAAATATTATTAGTAGCTACCAATTACTGTACTAATACTACATATATAATTAGTATCTACCAATTAGGTAGAAAGGAAGAAACACTTGGGTCATGTAAAAGATGCCAGGCTATGGTATTTGAACTGAACTCTGTGGGATTGATGGATTTTAAACTGGGGAGTACTGTTTCAGAAGAGGCATAAATGGCAGGACTGTACAGAATGGTTAGTGTGGAGAAGAACCTGAAAGTGGGTCACCCGTTATAAGTCTGTCCTTTTTTGCTTGTTCAGTTATGAATGGGATAATTAGATGTTTTTTTATTTGAAAAGATGAAGCTCCCCCACTACCTCATGCTACACTGTTCTTAGGTGTAGCAACAAGATACTTGAGAGATGGCAGCAGCATTTGCATGACATGTATCATAAGCTTTTGAAATAGCACGACAGATGGTACCCTGTCATTTGTGTGAAGGCTGATTCTACCAAGAAATTCAGTGTATCAGTTGTTGTGATTTCCCTGTGAATCCTACAATAACCATTTGTCATTTGGTTTTAAAGAACTCTGTTTTGATAGGGAAACAAGTGGAATACAATTGTTGAGTTATTGCAAACTCCCCAAAGGGTACCCTTATTTGAAGAAGGGAAACCCATGCTGCTGGTGGCATTAGGGCACTTCCTTCTGTGGTCATTCTTTTTGTTAGGAATGGAGAGGTTTTTTTGATGGTTTTTAATTGGGCTTATGGTTAGGAGACCTGGAAGGCTTAAAACCTTCCCAAAATCAAGGGTACCTGTCCTATGAATTCCTGAGGGAGATAAATTCCTAAAGAACAGTGTAAATGTGAAGCAGAATGCCGCATTCCTCATGTTTGGCTGGCTAGGACATGTATAAGTCCTACACTCTTTGGAAGGCTGGACTGGGGCAGATGCCCAGCCTCAGGGTCCATAGGGTCAAAGTTTCATCATCAGCTGAATGTTGGTATAGTGCAGATGTGCGATGAAAAATGCCAACTAAACTGCTCTTTCAACATACAGTTGTTTCTGCCCATTAGGGATGGGTTTGCAAGCTGGGACTTGCAGTCAAAGTCTTGAAATCTCACCCAGTCAGATGTGAACTTCCCCTCTTGAAGAGGAATGTAGAGGGCAGAAAGGTAGAGACCTTGAGAGTGTCCACAGGCTGGACGCGGTGGCTCATGCCTATAATTCCAGCACTTGGGGAGGCCGAGGTGAGAGAATTGCCTGAGCCCGCCAGTTCGAGACCAGCCTGGGCAAATTGGTGAGACCTCATCTCTACAATAAATTAAAAAATAGTCAGGCATGGTGGCGCATGCCTGTAGTTCCAGTTACTTGGAAGACTGAGGCAGAAGGATCATCTGAGCCCAGCAAGTCGAGGCTGCAGTGGCCGTGAGCTTGCCACTGCACTCCAGCCTAGGTGACAGAGTGAGACTCCAACTCAAAAAAAAGGTGTCCACTGTGATAGAGGCCTGTCAACCTTTCAAGAAAGTAAAATATCATGCCATTTGTTGCCAGGATGTAATCAAGAGGATCAAGCCATAGATTTATGATTTAGCAAGCTATAAGGATATCTCCATCTCTCTTCCTGTAGTAAAGTAAGTGAGATTGTGAATTGGACAGAGTGAGAGTTGAAGCATTGAGCCTCCTGGTTTTCCACTTCTCTGCTTTGAAGTGGAGATACTAATCTGTGTTGTGAGGCCTAAAGGAGATAGCAGTTATTAAAGAGGCATGCTGGGGCCTGGTGCCTGGTCAGTCAGGCCTTTTGACACATTCCTGATGGCAACAGTAGTGCCCTGCAGGGGCAGGTGGTAGGTGATTTTCCAGGGCTCAACATGTTGCACTGACTCTTGTCGCCCAGGTGGCCAGCTTAGGGGGTGAGAGGGAGCCTGGGCAGCCAAGCCAGCCAGCACTGTGTGTTTGTAGGTGGAAACTGCTAGACACAAAGCAAATGTGCAAGGCTCCAGTGATCTTTTCCTCTGCATTGTGGTGTTTGAGAACTTTTTCTTTTAGGAGTAGTTTTGAAAATTGTATGTGTGGGTGCAGTTTAATTATAGTCTCATTTTCCAAGTACAGCTATGGAAGAGTTTGTTTTTTTTCCTTTATCCACGCATCAGTTTCTTCAAAGAGCTCGTCCCTGTCTGCAGTTTCCAGGGTTCTGAAGTGTTTTTAAAATAAAGTTGTTAGTCTCTTTGAAATCTGGGTTCATGTGCTTTCTTTCAAGCAGTGAATGATGACATGCAGGAAAAGAGCAGAGCATCTTTAGCCCAGCTACATTCTGAGCTGTATTTTGCTTTATTTTGTCATTTCTTTTAGTCATTTCCCCTGCTGTAGACAGTAGCTTTTTCAACTGTACTCATGTACTCCTTTCCCTAGTAGTCCCAGTTCTGAGAGTCTTCCAGAGGAAATCATTTAAGTGCAGATAAAGCTAGATGTACAAAGATGTTTATTTTATTTTATTTATAAAAGTGAAAATTTGGAAATGACCTAAGTGTGAACTGTGGAACTGGCAAAAACTGTGATGCATGCCTACAGTGGGATGTTAGTATAGGCATTAAAAATGATGTTTCTAAAGCAAATTTAATAAGAGAAATGCTTATGATAAAGTACTAAGTGAAAAAATTAAGTTTCTATATAGTATCTTGTATGTCAAAATGTATGGAAAAAAGAATGGCGAGAAATCCAGTAACATGTCTGCAGGGGGTACCAGGAGAGTGATCTCTTTCTGATTCTATTACCATTTTCTATTATGAGCATGTATTCTGTTAGTATCAGAGTTTTAGAGAAGAAAAAAGAACCTGCACCAGCAATGCTTTGTGATTGCTTTTTAGATTCAGTGCTGTCACCTAGAACTAGTGTCAATGCTATGATGGAGGAGGAGTCTATAGTCTGAATTGTACTCTTGGTAATCCTACTTTAAATATCTGAGACTATTATGAAGAGTGTTTAAACAAATGGAATGAGCAAATGTATGAGCAAAAAATTAGTTGGGAGTACTTAAATATTTTCCCCCTTCTTTCTCCATGTTATTTCTGCTTCCAGGAACATCAGTTGGAGTGGAAATGAGCACCCAGAATGAACTGATAGAGAGGTGAGTGCGTAGCTTGTTAAGAAGACTTTCTAGGTTTGGTTTGCCAGCTGGCTTTTAAAATATTTTGGCTCATCCCATTTTATTAGTTTTCTGCTTCTTACAAGAATAAGGAATAAAACTCTGTGAAACTGACAGTGGCCATACAATGCCAAAAGTTCCTGCTGTGTGTCTTGTAGCCTTTATTCATCTGTTTCGGGTTACTTGCGGCATTTCTGTCTGGTGGCTTAAATTAGATGGCATATTCCTTCTGTTGGTTCCTGGATACCTGCAGGATAAATTCCAGACTTTTCAGCATGGCATTTGAGGCCCTTCTCAGTCTGACCCAACTTTTCTTCCCATCATGTGCCCCATGTCTCAGTCTTATCTGGCTTTTTGCTGTTCTCTTGACCATGGCTGTGCACAAGTTGTGCACTCTGCTTTCTTCCTCTTGTAGTTTGAAAATAATTTCTCAAAGACAGTTCAAGTGGAAATGAACCTGTTTCTCCCATGCCCTACCTCTCTACCACATCCTAGGGTGATTTATTTTTGCTATAGCACTTGGATATAATTACATTACAGCACTTACCACATGGTATTGTAATGCCCTCTGCATTTATCTTTCTGTTCCCAGAATTCCTTGAAAGTGGAAAGGAGCGCACTAGCATTCACTGGATATTAGTATGTCAGCTGTTGCCCTAGGCATTTCATATTTATTACTTTTCATTCTACAAGGATAGAAGTAACCATTTTAGGATGAGGAGGTTATAGGTCAGAGTTGCACACTTGACACTAAGAGGCAGAGCTGAAATTTGAGCTTGAATCTATCATACTCCCATGCTGTTATTCCACGATGTATTTTTTTGTTTTCTTTTGAGTCAGAGTCTCACTTTGTTGCCCAGGCTGGAATGCAGTGACACTATCACGGCTCACTGCATCCTTGACCTCCTTGGCTCAGGCAATCCTCTTCCTCAATGTTTTGAGTAGCTGGAACTACAGGTGCACATCACAACACTTGGCTAATTTTTTGTATAGATGAAGTCTCACTATGTGGCCTAGGCTGGTCTTGAACTCCTGGGCTCAACTCTCACGTTGGCCTCCCAGAGTGTTGGAATTACTGGTGTGAGCCACCACACCAGGCCCACAATATCTTTTGAGAGCAAAGACTACATCTTGACTATCTCTGTACCTGCTCCAGTTCCAAATATTTGGCATGTAGTTAGAGTTTAAAAAGTGTTCATGGAATAGATGAGTTATATACTTTCTTAGCTTACCTCCATGCCCAACTGAAAGTGTCAAGGTCTTGCCCTTCTCTGTTCACTTATTAAAGTTCTGAATGCTATTAATATTGCTGGGTACTTTTCTTCCCTTTAAAGATGTGACCTTCGGGGCTTCTGAGGGTAAAATGAAGAAATGGAGGCCATTGTGGGGTGCAGAATTTTAGATTTCATTGGTATTACAAAGGCCACCTGTGTTATTAGAATAAGCTGGCAGGGGAGTATCACAGCTCACTGGAGGACATTTTAATCAAGGCTTCTGTAAATTTAAAAGAATTACTTCTCTCCCACTGCAGTATTGTCAAAGATTCCGCCCAGTTCAGCCCACCCACTTCCATCCTTGTAATAACAGATCACATCCGACTGGCAGGCTGTGGAGAAGGGCAGGGAAGGCTTCCTGGAGTGAGACTATTCTTAGATGAGATCTAAAGGGTCAGAGTTGAAGGGGCAGGGTGCTGTGGGGAGAGTGTCCATGCCTAAGGGGAGGGAGACATGGCCCCTTTGAGCAGTGCGACTGGTGCATAGAGGGTCAAGACTGAAGAAGCAGACAAGGGTAAGCTGGCACTAAATATGATCAGATGTGCCATTTTGGAAGACTACTGTGATTGCTTGGAGAAGGGGTTGGAGGGAGGAAGGGAACCTAGCCATCTTCAGCCAATGTGTCACCCCTTTCCATTTTCGACAGATGCGTTTCTTTTCCTTCTGTTCCTCCGTTTTCAGCTGTAGGCTTAGCAGTCACATAGGTCACTTCTAAGCTAATTAAATGGGTGCCCTTGACCTATGCTGCACTTTTGCAAGCCAGCAGCAAGCCTGTGCATCCATCACACTGTCTGGGAGAAGCTGCATCTGGTGTTTACCTGTTAATGAAAGCATTGTAGCTTTGGAGTCCTTTGCTCCTGTCTGAGCTCATGAATAATGAGACTGTGGCCATTGACAAGAAGTAATAGGGAAAATGTGGGAGGAAAAAAAGAGCTTCAATTAAGGAACTTATCTATAATGGAGATTCACATGGGCTTTTCACAGCGTTCACATTGTTTTTTTTCCGTGACTTAGGTGGTCTTTGGGAAATATAGGTTAACAACCAGGTGATTGCTAGAATGATAGTATTGGGACCTGCTTGGGGAACCATGAGGGTTTTGAGATTTTTAAATCCATAAGGCCACCTCATGGTTTTGAGCTGGACTGCCACATTATCCTGGGGCCTTGGAATCAGACAGGTCTAGTTCAAGTCTAAGCTGTGCCACTTACAAGCTGTAAGACAGTGGTCTAGTTTATGATGATCCCCCGTCTTCCCAGCTCTAAATGAGAATAGTAATCCCTACTTCAAAGGGTTTCTGTGAGGCCCAAGTAAGATCTCAGATGCCTGGTACAGGGCAGTCATTTGGCAAAAAGCTGCTGTTAACCCATGCCCTCTCTTGAGTCTCTCCTCTATAAGTAGACTGTGGGACTGGCATAATGCCCTGCTTCCCCTTCACTGGCTCCAAACTCAAGCCTAGTGATCCCTCTTTGCTTTTAGAATGTCATTGCTTGATATTGTAGGGAAATAAAGGACTGACATAAGTCGCAAATATGGGGAAATTATAAAGGGCAAAATAATCTGAAATGTTCTTATATCATTGTCCTGGCTTGGAATTTTTAGCATGGGAAATAATTTATCTTTCAATCCCAATGGTTAAGGATTGAGGAAGATAACTTAACCTGTCAACATATTCTTCCTGAATCTCCTGAGCCTTCAGTCTCTCATGCATTGTCCGATTATGAAACGTCTGAGAAGTCCTCCTTCTCGCAAGACCAGAAGCAAGATAGTGACACTGAGAAGACTTCAGTTATGGTGAACATTTTTTCTCAAGGTAAGCTAAGCTTTATTAAGCATTTTAAACATGGCCCAATTTAAATACTAATTTGCTGTCTTGCCGTAGTATGCAGAATGTGGTGACATTTAACTATTTCTCTGATGAAACAAGATCTCATTAGGGGCCAAAGCTGGTCATTCAGATTGTTTGTGACTGGAGAAAGCTATGGTTGTTGAAAGTGTTGTTGATTGGGGAAAAGTCATTTTTATTTTTTAAATGATGACTTAATATATGACTTGCCATTCCCGACAGGCTCTGTGTCTGATATTTTTATATAAATACACAATTTGTGATGATGCTTTTATATATATACACAATTTGTGATCGTATAAATCTGTTTCTCTGTAGTGTGACCCTTGGCCCACGGGGTCAGGGCTTTTGTCTTAGTCCATTTGGATTGCTATAATAGAATGGGTGCCTTAGAAGCTGCAGAAATTTATTTCTTACAGTTCTGGAGGTTGGGAGGTTGAAGATCAGGGTTCCAGCCAGCATGAGTGGGCTCTGGTGAGGGCCTTTTTCTGGGTTCAGGCTGCCGTTTTCTCATTCTATCCTCACATGGAGTAAAGAAGGTGAGAGAGCTCTCAGGGGTCTACAATTTCACAAGGGCACTAATCTCATCCATGAGGGTTCCACCCTCATCATCTCCCAGTGGCTTCACCACCTAGTGCTATCACATTGGGACTTAGTATTTCAACATAGGAATTTTGAAGACAGAAACACATAGTTCATAATATCTTAGTTCTGCTCTGACCATGAACTGAGCTGACAGAATCAACTTCCTCAGGAACCTACTCCTGATCTCCCCTTTACCTTTTTTGTATTTGCTGTCTTGATTCCCTCTTCTTGGGGGTAATATGTAAAGCTTAATATTTGTAATTTGGTGTATTTCAAAGGTTCAAGGGATTGTATAGACCAGACCACATAGGCTAGGAATTGGTAGACTTTTCCTATAAAGGGACAGATAGTAAATACTTTAGGTTTTGCAGTGTATATGTTCCTTGTTGCAATTATTTAACTCTGCTATTGCAGTGCAAAAGTAGCCATAGACAATGTAAATGGATGGGTATAACCATGTTCCAATAAAACTTTATTTACTAAAAGAGGTGGTGGTTCAAATTTGGCTCACAGACTGTAGTTTTCCAGTCCCTGGTATAGACTCTGGACCTCAAATGACAATGAGTTGTTTACAAGGCACCCAGAGCAGACTTTGTACAGCACAAATCAGACACGGGCACCTCCTTGCTAAAAGCTCTTTGTTAACACTTGATCATATAGATCATTGTTTTATTTTTATTTTTGATTTCATTTATTTATTTCTTTTTATTGGGACAGGGTCTCACTATGTTGCCCAGGCTGGTCACAAACTCCTGGGCATAAACAGTTCTCCTGCATTGGCCCCCAAAATGCTGGGATTACATGCCTGAGCAACCCTACCTGGCTATTGTTTTTAAAAGGTGAGATCTTTTTTAGCAACAGGATCCCTGTTTTGTAGATGAAAATTTATGCAGAGGTCCCACGCAATATGTAAAAGAGATATGAGTGGAGTCTTTGTCCCTGTGGTGGCCTCTGAGGAAGCTCCAGGGCACTCAGGGCCCAGAAGAGCACAGTTTGAAGACATACCAAGAGCATGAAGTGCACCTGCTTGACATAACTCAGGTGTCAGCTGGGGTCCTCCAGCAGCTGTTACCTAGATCTGGTTTCTTTGGATTTCTGGCCATATCCCTCTGCAGTTTTTGTGAGTGTCTGACTACTTGGTTTTTCTTGGTCATTTCTGGCTCTACGTTTTTTCTTCCTCCCTAAGTTAGTCCAATCACAAATTGTTTTTCTGTCCTTGTGTCACTTTTTTTTTTTTTTTTGAGTTGGAGTCTTACTCTGCCACCCAGACTGGAGTGCAGTGGCCATTCCCGGCCACCGCAGCCTTGGCCTGCTGGGTGCCGGCGATCCTTCCGCCTCAGCCTTCCAAGTAGCTGGAACTACAGGCATGCACTACCATGCCTAGCTAATTTTTTGATTTATTGTAGAGATGAGGTCTCGCCAAGTTGCCTAGGCGGGTCTCGAACCCGCGGGCACAGGCAGTCCACTCACCTCAGCCTCCCAAAGGCACGGGATTACAGGCTGAGCCACCGAGCCTGGCGTGTCACTTTCTTTTGCATTGTATCAACCCAGTGTGGAATTCATTCACTTTCCAAGAACCCTTAAGGCCACTTCCATGAAGTCTTTGTGCAGACTTGATTGAAGATTTGAGGAACCATAAGGAAGGTGGCGGTTATAGTGCAGTGACCCAGATGATTTAAACTGGAAAATTTGGGATCCCTGTTCTTTAAAACCTTGCGGTGGTCCTGGGCAGATCCCTTGCTCCCTCTTGCCTGCCCCTCTTCTTCTACTCTTCACCCTGTCTTCTCCTCTAACCTTGCTTTAGTTCTAATGTAAAACCTTGCAGGCATTTTTTTTTTTTTTCTGTTTCTTATTCCTCTTGGAACCCATGACCTTGTGCTTATTAGTCCCTCTTAGTGGATTACCTGAATGGGAATAGTGTTCTTTGGCACTATCCTCATATACCCACTGTTATCTTTTTTTGGTTTGTTTCTCTTCAGCCTTTTATTCTCTGCATCTCATTTTTCCATCTGTATAGAGAGGTAATCTTTCCTTTTCTCACTTAACATTTTATCATAAGCTTTCTGACGTGTTGTTACATAACATCATTTTTAGTGACTTTGAAATAGTCCATTGAGTGACTGAACTGCAGTTTTACCTATGTTCCCATATTGCTGAACATTTAAATCATTTCTGGATTTCACAGTTGTAAACAATGCTGCAGGGAATATCTTTGAACATGAAGCTTTCCCCTTATCTGGGGGCATTTAAATAAAATACATAGATCTATACATTGGAACTACCAGGCAGAAGATATACACATTTGGCGAGGATGGTTGCTTCTTATAGGATTTATGGTTTTAAAGAGTTAGCATTTTCAGAAAGGTATTATTGTAAGTGAGACAGATACTTTTCTCCCATTTTGTAAAGGCTAGTATAGTGTTTCCTTCTCTTCAGTATGTCTGCATAATTAATAAGCGGTTTCCTATTCGACTGGGAATGTTCTCTTAAGCCCAAATGATGATTCCAGCTCCTGACTAAAGACTCAGCAGAAGTGGCTTGTATCAATGGCTACTGAACATTTATTGCCCTCAAAAGCCAGTAGTGTGTGACTTGGATGAATTAGCAAGGAAGAAGGTTGCAATCAAGACAGAAAAGTTCTTCACTGACTCCAGCCTGACTAGCCTCTGGAAGAAGATTTGCAGGGCAGCAAGGCAGGAGTGGGAGGTACAGTGCTGCGGTGTGCCAGGAACTTGTTGCAGAAAGAGTCCTTCAGCGTCATGCTGCAGCAAGAGCTGCAAACATCCCACCAAATGACTTGCCACACTTCTGGCATTAACAGGAGATGGCTGAGGGTCTGGGAATTAAGTCATCTCATAAACATTCAAATTCATGGCAGAATTACTATTTAATTAGGAAAAGATCTGTAACATTGTGCTACTTTTAAATGAAAGTCATTTTGGAGGAATTAAAACTGGGTCATAACATTAGTATAATGTTTTAAAACAAACATTACTAAGACATACTGAGTATACCCTAATTGATGAATTAAAGACATTAGTTTTGCCTTTGGATACTTAATGTGATTATGCTTTGAACACAGACTCTAGAAATCTACCTCTGGATTGGAATTGTGCTTCTTTCTTTCTTTATTAAAGTGAGATGTTCAGCAGAAGCTGAAAAAGTACATGCTCATTTTATAAAATTTGGAAAAGTTAAAATTTTATATATTAATAAGTATGTTAAAATGTAATATCGAATTTTTGAAAATCTAAAATCTATCATCTGAAGGCAACTGCTGTTAATATTTAGATGTATTTCCTTCTTTTATATCTTTGTGTCTTTCCTGTCTGTACAAAATTTTAAGTAGAGTTGTATGATATTGTGAATTATGTATTTGGTCTTCCTGGCATACAAGTCCTAAAATCCTTGGAATTTCTAAAGTGATAAGCATCTTTCTGTATGTTATTGAGTTGACTGATGGTGGGTTCCTGGATAGCCTCTGGATGGGGGCTGGTTGTCAGGGAAACTGACTATTCAATTAGAGGCTTGAAAATTTTAATCCCCCTGCCTCACTCCACCCCCAGTCTCTGGGGAGGGGAGAGTGACTGAAGGTTGTTCACCAGTGGCCAAATGTAATCAGTCATGTCTGCATAAACATCAAACGAACTGTGTTTGGAGAGTCGAGCCCTGGGAGATTCTTGAAGGGTGCACCTCCAGAGAGGGCAGTGAAGCTCTTATGCCCCTTCCCAGATACCTTGCCCTATCCATTTCTTCATCTAGTATTCATCTATGTCCTTTGTAATATCCTTTATAATATATCAGTAAACATAAGCAAACATTTCCCTGAGTTCTGTAAGCTGCTGTAGCAAATTCAAGGAGGGGACTGTGGAAACCAAATTTATAGCCAGTGAGTCAGAAACTCAGGTGAAACAACCTGGGGCTTGGGATTTGCATCTGAAGTGGGAAGTAGGTAGCCTTGAGGACTAAGCCTTCAACTTGTGACTCTAACCTTATCTCCAGGTAGATAGTTTCAGAAGTGAACTGAATTAAAAGGACACCCAGCTTGTGTCCACTGAAGAATTGCTTACTTGCTTGCTTGGTGTATGGAGGGAAAAACCCACACATTTGGTCACAGTTATCTTCTGTATTGATTGTTGATTGAGAGGATAGGAGAAACTAGGTGTTTTTTTTTTTTCTCTATAAATTGTGATTATGTTGAATACTCAATTTTGTATCTATTTTAATATTTAGTACAATAACAATTTTTTCATGATATTCTATAGTCTTTGCAATAACTTTAATAGCTATGTAATACAGCATCATAATGGATGTGTTACAGTTTATTTAACAGTCTGTTTCAGTTCTTACTGTTACTTAAAATACTAAGATGATCATTTTCCTGCATTCTGGCAAATTCTTGTAAACATTCTGGTGGTCTCTTTAGAGTCCTAGAAGTCAAATTACTTGGTAAAAGACATCGGAAAAGAACTTTTCAAAGGCTAATGATAGAAGTAGGCCAAAAAGGTCATATGCATTTTACTCATGCTAACAGGATGTACTCTTGAGATTACCCTTCATATTGCCATTCTTATTTGCTTGTTTTGCTTTATTTTTTAAGTCTTTTTTTTTTTTAGTTGGAATCTCACTCTGTCGCCCAGACTGGAGTGCAGTGGCTGCTCCTGGCCACCGCAGCCTCCACCTGCTGGGCTCCGGCTATCCTTCCGCCTCAGCCTTGCAAGTAGCCGGAACTACAGGCGTGCGCTACCACGCCCAGCTGATTTTTTGATTTACTGTAGAGATGAGGTCTCGCTGCCCAGGCGGGTCTCGAACCCACGGGCTCAGTCAATCCATTCACCTCAGCCTCCCCAAATTTTTTAAGTCTTAAATTAGTGACAGGTAGATAGCATTTCTTTCAAAATGTTAGTCTCAAAAATATCTGGGTTCATTATGAAGGTAGTTTAATCAACTCTCAACTCTCAGACAATTCAAGCAAACTTGAATCTAATCTGTTAGTTTTACCATAAGGAAGATTTTAAATTAATATTTGATATTTAGAAGAATAAAAGGCTATGTTAGAGTTAGCATTAAAATTGTGTGGAATATAATTTTTCTATGTGATATAAAATATCTTCCTCATGGAGAGTTGCAGAGGATCATAGCACTGTATCTGTGGGCTGTGGGAAGTAGCTCAACCTCCCCATGCCTAGGAAAGAATTGACAGTTGTTAACTATCTTAATACATCCAATACAGTTTGGAATTTCAAGATCCCTGCACAATCTAAATATTATTCAATTTGTTGGGGAGAGTTCAGACTTTATATTAAAAATGCCCTTCCTTCCTGTAGACTTACTAATGGAACATATACAGGAAATTCGAACTTTGAGAAAACGCTTAGAGGAATCTATTAAAACAAATGAGAAGCTACGGAAACAGCTGGAACGACAAGGGTCTGAATTTGATCAAGGTAAGGAAGGACTTTCTTAACAGGGCAGTGCAAACCTGTGAATACTTCATTGTGACACATTTACCTGAATAAGTGACTGTGCACAGAGCAAGTACTTGATGAATATTCATTTCTTCATCATTGGAGAAGTCTGCTGGCCTCTGACATCCTGAATTGCGGTTGGCACCTCTTTTGACTTTGGGAGCAGTAGAGAAATAGATAAACATTTAAAATAAAACAAAACAATGTTTTATTTTTTCATCAATAATAGATTATACAAGTAACAGCATTTTAGCAGTCTAGTAAATCTCATATACTAGCCAAAAGGTCATCAATATTCCTGCATAACTGCTGTTCGCTCTGAATGGAATGATCTTTCATGAAGAACTTAGAAATATTTTCTTTTCCCATAGGTAAGACATTCAGATCCTTCAAAATCCAAAACCGCCATTTGTTACTCATTCCCCTTCCCTTCCCTCTTCCCCATTTTTGTTAGTTTTCTTCTGTATCCTTACAGTGATTTTATAAAATGCAAGTATACTTATTCTCTCCCTCACTTACACAAAAGGTAGCATCCTCTATATCCCCTATTCTGGTTCATTTTTCATTGAGCACTGTATCATGGACATCTTTCCTTATCGCTTCAGAGAGTGTCCTCATTCCATGAAGAGCGTATCTTGAGAGCAGCTTGGTGCTCTTAGAAAAGCCAGAGTTTGGGAGTTGGTTGACCTGGGCTGGGTATGGATTCCGATCTTCTGTTTATTAGCTTTGTGACTTTGGATAGTTCACACATCTCACCCAGTCTTAATTATTTCCTAAAACAGGGACATGGAGAGATTAAAGGAGACAGTGTTATGAATAGGGCCTTGTTCAGTGCCTCCCTAAATAAATAACTGCCTTTATCATCATTTTCAGTTTTGTTTTATTTTATTTTGTATACTGTTACTGATTTGACATTGCAAAGCTCTGCAGTGTGTGGGAACCCTAATGCCATGCCCATTTTTAGAGAAGCGAGAACTAAGTTCTAGAAAGATCGTGCTCAGTGGCAGCACTCAAGTCCTTGGATCTTCTCTAGCCATCATAGCCACCATTCTGGAAGGACATCTTTCCAAAATACTGTGCATACTGCCGCTTGCAAGGGAAGCAGAGTGGCTCCATCACGCCCCCTCCTTCCTCCTTCACTCCCTCCCTCCCTTCCTCTCACTCTCCCTCTCCCTCTCACTCTACCCATATCCTACCTCCTTCACTGCTCACCCTCAGGGAAATTGATTAATCTGAGCTATTAGTGGTATCAAACACAGGAAAGGAATACATGCCCGGGCCCTTCACATTCACTCTTGGTAATGTCTGCATTAGATTCATTTTGTTTTACATTTTCCCTGGCAAATCCAATTATAGAATTATTTGGGGGCTCAAATGGCTACCAGCTACAATGGAGCAGGCAATTGCTCTGGAGAGTAATACAGTCTGACGGAAAGGTTTACAAAAAGGCATTCATAAAGTATTTACACTGGTTGAGGGATGTGCTGTTCTCACCATGTTGTCACTGTGTCTGAAAAGACAAAGAAATAAATGTGGTCCCGCCATTCCCTACTGGGAAATATTTATGTTGGGAGTAGACAGGAGGAAGGCAAGGCAAGATTCTTGAATATTGAGGTGGAATATTGTTAAAAAAAACACCATCTCATGTGTTTAGAACTTCCAGCTTGTCATCAGTTATATGAACTTACAGTGATGACATTCAGAGGAAAGTCTGGCCTTGTCGCGCCAGAAATAGACCTTGCTAGCTCAGGTTTCACCTGTGTCAGGGACTGTTCTTTGTCTTAATTATTTCTTTGAAAAGAAATACTGCCTTCAAAGCTACTACTTGAGATTTGGTCATTGTCTACTTCTCCTGTATAATTTTTCCTGCTTATTCATATTACTCTTTGGTGCTGTTTTTACTGTAGCCTATTATCAGTTGTGATATTAATACAGATGGCAATAGTAGTAACAATAACAATGTCAATCATTTTCATTGAGATAATGGAAACTTTGGTAAGTTATGTGACTTGCCTGAGGTCATGCAGCTATTAAGAAGCCACAGCCATGGTTCAGACCCAGGTGTCTCTGAAAAAGATACCAGAGACCACAGGGGAGAGTGGAAGAAGATGGTAGAGGAGACATGTGAATACAAAAATTATATGACATTGTGATAAATGAATCATTAACATGAGCAAAAGGTAGTGCTGTAGAGTGGAAAGTCTATGAAATTCTTAGAGAACTGATGTCATACCTTCCTTAAAGGAGTTTGAATATATGGATATTAAGTGTGTACCCGGATGCTTTCCGCTATAGATAACAATATGAGTAAAAACTGGTGTTAACAGGGGGTTATGTTTTCTTATATAACAAGAAATCAGAGGCAGGTAGTTCCAAGGCAGGTTTTATGGCTCAGTGATAGCAGTTTGGGGTTGGTATGTGATTACTGCAGTAACTAAGCATCCCATACTCTCAGGACAGTGTCCAAAGCATGGGAAAGAAGAAGGTGGGGCTTCTTGCTGTCCTTTTGTTTTCATCTGGGCAGAAAATCACGCCCAGAAGCCCCTAGCAGACTCCCCATCAGGCCCTCTTGGTCAGAAGTGGCACATGACCATGTTCTCGCTGGGAGTGAGGTAGGGGGCTGCTGGGAGAGCAGGAATCTGACATTTTGGCTCTGGTGTAATGAGTGAATTCAATCAGTGTGGAGGATGGGGAGGGTAAGCATCTGCTGCCACATGTGGAAGGCACCTTGCGCACAATAGGCATTCTCCCAAGAGAAGCTGTGAACTTGAATGTTACCTGTGGAGCAGAAGCTGGAGAGTGCTGAGGTGGAGTGCCAAGGGAGGGTCTGGCAATAGGCACCATCTGAGTTGGACTTAGAGGAAGGAATAGGATTTCAGGGGATAGAGAAAAGCACAGAAAGAGATTTACAGGTGAAGGCATGATCTCCATCTGTATAGTTTTAGACTGTGGTCTTTAGGGTGTACACTTAGAGGCAGTATGTAGAGCTGTGAGTGATCGTGGCAGACAATGAAGATGGCAGGCATTCTAGGCAAAAGGAATGCCTCATTCTGCAATGTCAGGGAGTGTGTGGCTGCAGGGTGTTTGGGTGTGAGGGGGGCATGAAAGTGGTCCCATTTGACTACGTTTAGGTCATTGGGGTCTAGGGAGGAAACAGAGTGTGGTGTGTTGAGACTGGACCTGAATAATGGAGATACTTGGATTCTAGACTGAGAAGCTGGACCTTGTGTTTTCTTTGATTGTCTTTGCTGTGGCGGGCTGTCTGATCTTTTTGAGCAGTGAATAACATGAATAGACTATCTTTAGGACAATAACCCCACTGGCAGAATAATAGGGAGGCAAGGATAGAGCAAGGTGATAAAGCCTGAACTATAGGGACGTAAAAGAATAGACCAGTGTCTGAAACATTCTGGACAAAGATTAGCAGTCATGGTTGCTTAATTGGGCAGTGGAAGAGAGAGGAGTTCAGAATGGCTCCCGAATTCCTAACTAGTGTTAATAAGGATTGGGGTGACACCAACTCCTGGTGCAGAAAACAGATGAGAGAGCAGGTTTAGAAGGATGAAGATTTCAGCTTTTGGTCTGTGAACTGAGCTGCCTCAGTGGCCCAGCAAGCATCTGGTTATATGCGTTTTGAACTCAGGAGAGATATCTGTGGAGATTAAGACTGTCACTCACTCATCTACTCCTGGCTCAGGCAGGCCTCCTGCTTTATTCACCCTTAGGAGAAATAAGATGTGGGGAGTCCCTCTTGCCTCCTCTTTGAAGCGCACTCTCATTGCCTTTTGGTGTCTGGTAATACTATATACAGTCCACAGGAGTGATTTTCATTGCATGTTGTATTAGCTCATTGTTTAAAACTGTATTCTAGATATTTCCATCCTCTACTGACCTGGATACCTGTTTATAAATCATTCCTTATGTTTGTTTGTACCTAGGTTCTACAAATATTTTTGCTTCTGGTTCAGAGCTGCATAGTTCCCTGACATCGGAAATTAATTTCTTGAGAAAGCAGAACCAGGCCCTTAATGCAATGCTCATTAAAGGATCCCAAGGTAAGAATGAAAGGCGTCACTTGCAGCTAGGAACCCCCAAACCTTCTATGTCATGGAGAGAATGCAAATGTTGGAGTCTGACCAACCTAAGTGCGAATCCTGTGGCTCTGTGATGGCTTTACATCATTTAATTGTCACAATAGCCTTATGAGCTATTTTCATTTTACAGCTGAGAAAACTAGAATTAGAGAGGTTAAGATACCTCACAGGGCTGTTGTGATAGTTAAGTGGTGTAAAGCCCTCAGCATAGTGTCTCTAATAGGGACGCAGCAAATGTTACTTTACTTGTCACCCATCCCCTCTGTAGAGCTACTTTTTTCCTAGTTCACAGTGAAAGAGAGAAGGGGCTGGAAATATATTACTATCAAAATCTCAAGTAGAACTCTCCTACTATCAGCAAAGTTTATCCAGTATTTTTTATAAAGATCCCTTAATTCCTTCTTTTTAGAGTTTAGCTCCCAAAGAGCTTTCACTTACATTAATCTTTCAATACTGAAGACAATTCTGGAATGAGATATTACTAGCCCTGCTTTACAAGTAAGAAACCAAGACCTAAGAAATTGCCTGTCGTGGTGCTAGAAGGTGGTGGAGCTAGAACTTGGATCAGCTTATCCCACTTTTCCTAGAGGATATTGAAGATGACTTTGACTTAAGAGGCAAAATTGGGGCCTCAGTAGGTCGTTCATTCTCCTGTTCTTCATCAGGGCCTGTGTAGACTCTGATACAGAAATGAATGAGACCTGGTCCCTTCCCACAGGGGTCTCATGGTCTGATGGGAGAGACAGCCAGACAACCCATGGCAGGCCAGCATGAGCATTAGCCACGATGAAGGCAGGCTCAGGGACCTGCAGGACCCTGGAGAAGGTTTCCTGACCTGGGAAAAGATAGTCTTCAGGAACTCAGTCTAGAAGTATGAGGAGGGATTAGCCTAGGTGCCTGAGGTTTTAAATAGAAGGTAGAGAGTGGGCAAAGGCCTCGGGTTTAGAATTATAGAGCATATAGACCAATCAGGAATTGTATGCAGATTGGTGTGTCTGAAGTCGGAGGAGGTGAAATCTTGCTTAGAAATTGTTGAGTTGTGTTAAGAACAGAGTCAGTAAGCCTGAGAATGCATCCTGGCTCTGCCTCTTATTTGCTGTGTGACCTTGGGGAACTCTTAACCTTGTCAGTCCTTAGTTTTCTATCTGGAAAATACACAGAATAATAGTACTTACCTTGAAAATTTGCTCTGGAGAGTAAATAAGATGATGCCTATGAAGGCCTTAATGTAGTGCCTGCACAGTTAGTGCTGGTGCACGTCCCCTACACCACCAGTACTGCCAGCACCTTGTCCTTGTGGGGCTTACAGCCCCAAAGTACTTGTGAAGCTTGGTGCTCAGCCCTTACAGATAGCAACTCACTTTATCCTCACAGCAACATGTGCGGAAACTGAGGCACTTTAGAAAAGTGAAGCGCCTCACTCAGGGTTATGAAGTCAGTAAATAGAGAAACTGCCCTTGCACATGGCCACTCGGCTTCCAGCACCCTGCTCTTGACTATTTTGTCTCTTTTGCCTCCGGGAATATTTTATTCCTCAGAAGAGGTGCTGTCCTCATGGCCTGAGTCAATGACCCCAGGGTGCCATCTGCACAGCCCTGCCGGCCTCCTGGCATGAGGCTTGTGGAAAGCTTGTGGACTTTCTGGCACCTATTGCCAGAGTTTTGGGCCCCATTTCTTGCCTCTGTAAGGCACTGGGGTACTGTAATTTCTACTCGCTGTTTGCTCTGTGAAGGCAAAGTAACTAGGTTTGCATGGCCTATTATTTAATAGAAAATTAAACAGGCCCATTTTATTTCAGTGACGTTTAATCTCCAGCTTTGATGTTGACAGATTTATCTGCCCAAAACGTATGAGATAATTGGAATGCCAAAATCATAAATGCCAGATTAAATCTCATTCTTTTTTGTATTCTTGGAGTATGTGAGCTGAAGTGCTGTATTCGCGTAATAAGGTTGGAAAAAACAAATGGTGCCCCTTCTCAGTGGCACTTTTTTGTGTCTGCAGATAAACAGAAGGAGAATGACAAATTACGAGAGTCCCTCTTTAGGAAGGCTGCGAGCCTAGAGCACCTTCAGCAGGCGTATGCCAGTGTGAGGGAGGAAAACGAGAGGCTGCAGAAGGAGGTCGGTGAGAAGGAGAGACACAACCAGCAGCTGATCCAGGAGGTCTGCAGCAGCCGCCAGGAGCTGAGCAGGTAGTAGCATGATCCACCTATCCCCTGTGGGCCATGCCACATATACAGGCACTGGGGTACTGTCATGGAATGAGGCAGGTGAGCCCCTGCCCTAGTGTATGGGTACCGACAGTAGACACAAACACATCATACACCTGGCAGGCACATAGTATAGGGAAAGAAATCATTTAAGTAAGGAGGAGAGGGCTTGGGGAGCAGGTTTCTATTTTGTGATCCTAGGTGAGTCAGGGACGGCCTCTCTGGAAAGATGCCATTTGAACAGAGAGGAGAGGAGTGCTGCAGCCATCTGAGGAAGATCATTTTAAGCAGCAGGGCATGGGCCTTGAGGCAGAGTGGCTGTGGCCTGTGCCTGGCAGAGCAGGTAGGCCAGTGCATCTGGGGAGAGGCCATGGCAGGGGTTGACTGGATGCTGAATCACTTTGGGCCTCACAGCTGGCGTGAGGATTTTAGTTTTTCTCTGAGTGCCATAGGAAGCCACTAGGACATTCTGAGCAGAGTGACATGCATCTGCCTTGGATTTTAAATGGATCCACCAATTACTGTTTTGCAGTTTTCCCTTTAGCCTTGTCTTGTTCCATATTTCAGTTCCCATCAGCCCTAGCGAATGTCCCCCTCTTTTAGAGTTGCCGGGTGGTTTAGCAAGATCATTGTCTTTGCTATCAGACAGTCCTGGGTGTAAGTCTGGGCTCGCCTTCTGAGCTGCGCATCCCTGGGGGAAGAGAAAGAACATTTTGAGCTTCACTTTCTCATATCTCTGAAATGAGGATTAGAGAGCACGTACCTCTGAGGGTGTCTGTGAAGATGACATGAGATAATGTATGTAACTGGCTGCACACAGGGTTCTCGGGAAATAGTGTCTGTGACTGAAATTCTTAACCGTGTTTGTCACTTTATTGTCCAACTCTTGTGCCTGAGGGTGGAATTGGCCTGCCCTGTGGGGTTTGAATAAGTCACCTCAGGGAAGAAGAATTAACCTCTCCTTCCCATGCCTGTGGGGCTTTTTTAGGGTGCAGGAGGAGGTAAAGTTGGGACAGCAGCTATTATCACAGAATGACAGGCTACTCCAGTCCCTCCGAGTGGAGCTGAAGGTGTATGAGAAGCTGGATGAAGAGCACAGGAGACCAAGAGGTATTGGGTGCTCTGGCCCAAGAGCCATCTCATTCTGGGGCTGCTGTATCTTGGGCCGTGAGCCCACCTGCACAACTGACCACAGAATCAGGGGGACAGAGTGCAGTGCTTTCCATGCTAGCCGCATGGGTAGAGTGGGTATATTTTGAAGCAAGCACTTTGGCCCACACTTCTTTTGAAAAAGCAACAGGAAACATGTGAGGAAACAGCTGAGGTCTGGATTCCCACTCCCTTATTTCCAACTGTGTGACCATCAGCAGGTCACTTTACCCTTTAGGCCTATTTCTGCCACTATACAATGTCTGTTAATGCCTGTTATGTATAGTTGTTGTGAAAGTTGAATGAGATAATTTACTGAAAGCTCCCTAGCATGGTACCTGACACATAGTAGGCCGCCAAGAAGTAACTTTCATTATAATCTTCTTGCTGGTGTGTATTTCTATTCGCCCATTGATTCAGCAAATATTTATGGGGTACCTGCTGTGTGCTGGGCACTCCTCTGGGGATGGGTCTTGGCTCCGGTCTCCTCTGTATCCAAAGAGAGATAACTGATCAGAGTGACTTGACTATACGCTATACGGTCTAATGTTTCAGAATCAGTTTTGAGGTATGATGATTTTTTTTTTAAGCTAATTTTCCAGATGGTTTCTCCCTATTGAAAGTTTATCTAGAAAAGGGTCATCTCACAGCTTTCATTTTCTCTTCAAGTTGCTTTTCTTATTCTTGCTGTTGTGTCTTTTTAATGTACTGTGGCTCTTAAAATCATCCCCTTTCATTCTATAATTTCAACCCAAATAGATTTTATTACCACTAGACATAATTTCGGGGTTTGGTGTGCAATTTGCTAAGCTTTTATGGCCAGAAGCGAAAATTAATTTCCAGCTCTTATTTAGCCTGTGGAATAGCAGCAATTAAGTCTGCCAATATTTTTGTTTCTGAAGTCAAGTTGTTATTTTAAATTGTACCTAGTTCTTAGGAAGGGGGAAAGCGATGGTGGGGGTAGGTTTAAAATGCTGTGGAGTTGCATTTCGATGGCTGACCCTTTAATCATGGAAGATGTCAAGGTTTCCCTTTGCACATGTCCACAGAGGCCAGAGCAGAGGCTTCGGGCGAAGGCTGGAAGGGGCAGGATCGAGACCTGCATGGCCTCCTCATGGAGATCCAAGCTCTGCGGGCGCAACTGGAAAGGAGCATTGAAAACAACCGTACCCTGCAGAGTAAGCTTGAGGAGCAGCTGGCCAAGGGGGCAGCGAAGGCACAGGAAGAAGCCCTTACTCCAGCTATCCAAGCCCTCTCCATCCCTGAGCAGCCCCCTCAGCTAGCCAAAGATGGTACGCACCTGCCTCTCCCACTTTCTGAAAATGTAGCTCTGAGCATGTGTGTGTCACATGTGAGCTTTTGAATGATGCCTTTGTCCCACGGAGGTGTCTTTCCATTGACAGCAGATATACTATACCCTAGGAGTCAGGGGGCCTGACTGCTAATTAGCTGTCACCTCTGGGAAAATGGTGTCATCTCTTGTCTGGGATGTCTTATGTCTCAGGGCAGTGGATTTTGGGTTGCTAACTGCCCTCAGTGCCTGTGGTCTTGTTCCTTCCCATCTATTTAGTCCTGCCCACATCACTCTGGTGCTGAAATTCTTTTAAGTTCCTCTTACTGCCTGTAAAAGAGAATCTAAACCTCTTAACTTTAGTTTCAAGTGTCTTTCAGGATCTGAAAAGCATCCTGGAAGGTTTAAAAAGTAGACCTGTTTTGCATTTGCTTGCAGGTTTATTGTCTAACCCTAGAGAGGCTGTGTAGGGTAGCAGAAAGAGGACAAGACATCTCTGCCACCCACTAGCACAGGTTCTAGAGCAGACCAGCAAAGAGTCAGGCTCAAAGCAGTTAGTCAGGCCATCCACTTTGCTCTAGTGATAGAAACCAAGGCACAAGGAGGTGGATGGGGCTTGCCCAAAGTGACACAGCAAGTAGGTGTCAGCTTGAGCAAGGAACTGTTTCCAACTGTGAGTTCAGTGCTGCTCCTGACCCCTACCCAACCTTTGGGAGCCTCAGGTATCCGGGGATTATCACCTGACTCCCACAGGGTGGGTGTGCGCATTCAACGGGACAAGGAAAGCCAACATGTTCTATAAACAAGCATTGTAATAAATTTGGACTTATCTTTACTTGGAGTGGGAATTAAGTCTGTCATCTTTATTTAAAAAACCATCTCTCTTAAGGAGCACTTAGTCTGCTTCAGAACTCATAGTGATTAGTTCATTGATTTCTCCTTGATAAGGATTATAAAATGCTAACGAAAGAGATATATAACAATATGAAAAAAATTGAAGGGAAACAACTTTCATGATTCTACATATTAATCATATTTTTAAAACTTTGCATATTTTTTGTTATTTGTTAATCAAATACAGCTATGAATTTATATTTTTCAGATTGGTTTTTGTGCCATCCTGTCTTCTTTCTTTGTTTTTGTCTAGTACTACATCCTGCAAGGTCCCCCTGCTTTCACACAGGCTTCCTAATGACTGTTTGCGGGTTCTTGTCAGTCACCAGTTCATTACCCTGTTGATTATTAAAGTGGTCTCTGATTTGGAGCCTTAATAAACATCGATGTTAATATGCATTTTGCTGCTAAACATTCCTAGCATAAGATTATCCTATGGAAATCTCAAAGGGTTGGAAAGGTGCCATATTGCTGTCTTCTATACATCAGCAGTGTACAGAGGTCATATATTGACCTCATTATTGTGGGCATTACCATTTTAAACATAGGTCAGCTTCTGGCCCTTTTTAGGGCTTTGAGGAGATGGGGCCTTAAAATTGATGGGGGAACTGTGGGAGTGGGCTGGGGGAGATCAAAGCAGGGAGGACAGTTATGTGCTTGGGGTGGCCAGGAAGAAGATTTGGGCAGCTGAGGTAAGGAGGCCATAGAACAACCTTTACCTGCTTTTGGAATTTGTTCAGAGGCAGTCCTAGGAATGCCTGGCAAGAGGCATCCAGGAGAGTATTCAAAATTCACAGTGCTGTCTCAGCAGAAAATGTTTCTAATTGCGTTGAGTCAAGCTCAGAATTATATCATAGACTGCAGCATTTCTTCCTTTGCAAGATTTTTCAGGACTGTAGTTGAGTGTACCTGTTTAAAAGTTCTGTGTTAAAGGCTGCTATCAAAAAAAGAAAAGAAAAGAAAGGCCGCTGTCTTTATCTGAAAGTGATTCTTCTCAGGGGCCAACCCCTCAGAGCTGGCTTCCTGGCTCCTTGACCCTAGGAATCAAGACCCATCTTGGGAAGGAGTGGCATGCTTGCAGTCAGCCCACTACCTAGTGCTGCATGGGTGGGAAGGAGCTTGGGCACGGGGTCCTAAGACCTGGACACAGTTCTTGCTTTGCCATTGACATGCTGGTTATGCTGGGCAGATCGCTTCCCGTCTCTGCTCCTTGGTCTTCCCTTTCCATGAAATCTTAATTATAGTGCTGTTCTGCCCACTGAGGTACTGAGAGTCCAATAGCATTTCAGATGTGAAAGTACTTTTCAGATTATAAAGTGTCACACAAGTCATCTGTACAGGATCTATTGATTTTGCTTACTTATGATGTTTCAAATGTATCACGCCCCCACTAGGTGCTATCTTAGGCTCTCTTGCTTAGGTGACTGCAACAGCCTCCAGATTCACTCCTCCAGTACAGAACATGGAGCTCTGCTTGACACTGCCCTATCTAGAGCCCTTAAGTGGGTCCCACTGTCCTCATGGTTCTGGCCTTGCATCCCACTGTATCTTTCCCTGCGCCCAGGCCTTGGCCATAGGAGCTGCTTATTTTTCCCTGAGTGATGATTCACTCCTCTGTCCCTTTGAACTGCTTGTTCTGCTGCCCAGCATTTCTTACTCCTTCTTCCTGTGGGTCACTCATAGTCAGTCTTAAAACATAATGCAGGTATTAGCCTTTGGGAAGCCAAGTTGTGGTTAGCCCCTCTCACGGGCTCCCACAGCCTCCGTTTCCCTCTCTCACCCCTGACCACACTGAAATGAAACTTACTGTTTATTTGTCTGACAAGAGAATTCTTCTAGGGAAGGTACTGAGCCTGGTCACTTTATCTCCCTGATGTCCTACCCAGGGCCTAGCAGGACAGATTCTCAGTGAAGATTTGAATGAACGCTTGTGTGTATCTGCATAAGTGAATATGTATATGTTAGGTACTTGAGTGCATTCTAATTCAGTTCTCTCTCAAATACTGATGACAGTGAATCTAACAGTTTATTTTCCTTCTCTTGTTTTGCATTTTGTAGATGGTGACAAATATCCTATGGCAAGTGAGAATTCATTTGATCTGTTTGATTCCACCCATGCAGTGACACCAAAATCAGGTACAAAGTCTGGGTAACTGTGGCAGCATTGGGTGTGGCAGTAGGGCTTTTTAAATAGCAGGAAAAGGGGTCCCTGGTTCCTACTCAGGAGAGTTTTTGGCAGGGACTTGGGGCTTCAGGTTCTCAGTATCTCTAGTTGGTGATCTCCTCCTCCAGACCAATTAAAGTTGCCTCTATCTTTGTGTGGCCTTCAAGGCTCTCCAGGATCCAGTCCCATTGGGCCTGTCCAGTCTTATGCCTCACCCTGGTGTGGCCACACAGATGGATTACCATCCTGTGGACAGGCCTGCACTCTCCTCTCACTCTGACTTTCAGACCCCCTTCGTCCCAGTCTCAACCAGTGAAAGTGCTACTGCTTCCTCAAGACTCATCATGAATGCAGATTGCTCTGTGAAATACCATTTCTGCTGTCCCTGGTCAGCATTATTCATCCATACTTCTAGGATCCAAATATAAAAAGCAACAGGCTTTTACTTCTGTTTAGCCTAGTTATTGCTACCTATTCAATCCAGCTCAACTGCTGCTCCTTCTCAGCAGCCTTCCTTGCATAGATCCTGTTTTGTCCCTGAGCTCTGACTTCATCATTGTGCCATTGCACCTCCTACACTGTCTGTGTTCCAGTTGTACCATGGGCTACTGGAATGTAGGCAGCAGCTTGGTTCATCTCTGTGAATCTGGGATCTTCTGCAGAGTGGGTGGTCGATAGGTGTTGATGGAATTGACTTGAGCCTCTCCCACAAGATGCACTGTAAGCCCAGTGTGGGGTAATATACAAACCGAGGTCCAGGAGCCAGTCCTCTTTTCCCAAGTGGGCTTGTGTCAGGCAGCATTTGAGTTGTGAGGGCCTCTCTCAGCCCTCTCCACTAGTTTCAGCATCATAAGCTCCTTGAACAAGGATGCTGCCCCAAGCAGATCTGACATCTTGCCTCTCATTTTGCTGCTTCAGAGACTTCTCTACTCTCTGGAAATGGCACAGACTCCTTCTCCTGCGTCAGTGACAGCTCAGCAACCAACACCCCGCGTGCACCCCACCTGGTTGCTGGGTACCACCTGTGGGCCAGCAAGAGTGGCTGCCATGTTCTGGGCCTGATTGAAGACTACGAGGCCCTGAGCAAGCAGATCAGCCAGGGCCAGAGGCTCCTTGCTGAAATGGACATTCAAACCCAAGACGCTTGCATCCCTTCAAGTAAAGAGCTGGGAATAAAGGTAATCTGACCACAGAGCTAGAGTTAGTAAGCTGCTTACTGGGAGCATCAATGGAAGGGATTGCTGTAGTGCTGGGCAGCACATGGTGCAGTTGTCCTCAGCAAGGCCTGGAGAAGAGGGACCAGAAAGTGTGGCCCACGGAGGCTCGGAGGTCAGGGCTAACATGGGGCAGCTTGTGGAGGCGTATGCCGTGTTCCCATAATGGCCACTATCTGCCTGTTCTCTCATCCCATCCTCGCTGTCTGCTGTCCACCTAGCCCTCGCCCATGAGACTTGTGTGCTTGGACTCAGGGATGACTGGTGAAGGACAGGTCCTAATCCTCATGAAGCATACTGTACCACAGTATCTCTGTAACTGCTGTGTGATGAGCTTGCCATTGTGAGCTATCATTGTGCACCACAAGATTGTTGGTGGCTCCCCAACTTCTTGCAGAGGAGTTTTTTATATGGTATTTTGTTTCCTCCTCAGAACAGACCTGTAAAGTGGGGGATGCTATTCCCACTTTACAGATGCTGAGGTGAGGCACTTGGAGCAGTCAGCTTTTTTTTTTTTTTTTTTTTTTGAGTTGGAATCTCACTCTGTTGCCCAGACTGGAGTGCAGTGGCACACTCCCAGCCACCACAGCCTCGACTTGCTGGAGTCCAGCAAGGAACTACAAATGTGCTAACACGCCCAGCTAATTTTTGATTTATTGTAGAGATGAGGTCTCGCCAAGTTGCCCAGGTGGGTCTTGAACCTACAGGCTCAGGCAGTCCTCTCGCCTCGTCCTCCCAAAGTGCTGAGATTAGAGGCTAAGCCACTGAGCCCGGCCACCAGTCAACATTTGAACCCAGTTCTCAGTCCACAAAGGCATACTCCTCTGCGTCACAACACTATCCACCTCAGGAGTTGCTAGTCATCCCACTCACCTGTGTAGAAGCCACCACTTCTTCCTGGGTGGAGTGCCAAGGAGTTCTAATTTCTAGTCTGGCTTCTGCCTGCCTCTCACCATCATTTTCCACTCTCCCCATGTGTGTCCTACTGCGAACAGGCGGACTGCATGCTGTTGTCCTGGCTTCCCTGTTCTCTCTGACTTGGAGTCCCCCTCTTACCTATTCTTCTTGTTGCCTCATCCGACTGGAGTCTTCTCATCTGAAAGTTACCTTTATAGAGGATCTATGCGCTTGATATACATTTATTCATTCACTTCCTCCAGGGCTTGGTGTCTGTTTTTCCCATGACTGCACCAGACTTTCAAGCTTCCATGGGTCACATTCCTGATCCCACTTCTTAGGTCCTTACTGAGGATACTTGAGCCCCTTGCTTCTTGATACCTGTTTTACCTTTTTTACTATACAAGGAGGGACCCAAAAAACCTGGAATTTATTTATTAAATAATTATGTATTTATTTGTACATGTTTAAACTTCAGTCCCCTTCAAAGTACTCTCTGTTTTGATGCAACACACCTGTTGAATGCTTTTTTCACCTCAAAACTGTTTTTTGAACTCTTTAATTTTATGCCTTTTATTGCTTCTGCTAATTTTTGTTTCACCTCTTCCACATCGGCAAAATGTTTCCCTTTGAGGACTTTTTTCATTCAGGAAAACAGAAAAAAAGTTGCTAGGGGTGAGATCGAGTGAATGGGGAGGGTAGACACGGGGGTCATGCCATTATTGATCAAAAACTGTTGAGCACTCAGTGTAGTGTAGAAAAGTGCACTTGTAAATCACTCATCCATAAAATGGGCAAATGTGTTGAATCTCCAAAAACAACTCACTGAAGCTGAATGCAGCTTCTGACAACAACACTAGCTGGTATACTGGTGCCAGTGGGTTCCTAGAACACTTACTAAGCGGAGGAAGTCTGTACTGTAAGGAGCCCACCCTCCAAAAGATAATGCTGGGTTTTTTGGGATCCCCCTTCATATTATAAAGATCAACTTTCCATTTTATGGAAATAAGTTCCAGAAGAACAGGGATAATATCTGTTGTGCTTGATGTTATATATACACTACCTAGTAGTACAGGCCTTGTGTGGAGTGGGGGCCTGGTAAATATTTGTTGAATAAATTAATACATATTAATAAGATGATGATTTTTCCTGATTCTAATCTTTATTGTACAAAAGCTAGAAATTTTAGAAAAACATAAAAACAAAACAACTATAAAAATATCACTTGTAGGTCAGCACTTAACATTTTTTATATATATATATAAACACACACATATGCATATGTATATATTTATATTTATACACACACTTTTAGGTCATTCCTAAAGTTTTTCAAACCTGCTTATAAATATAAATATGAGTTTCATGTATTTCAGTTACTATATGAAGAGTTTTCCTCTCTCATTCAGTATTTTTCTAGCACTTGACTTTCAGTGCTGTCAAATAAGCTATAACATGGATGTTCCATCATTTATTTCACTTATTTATTGGACATCTAAACGGTGATGAGCATCCTTATGTATAAATCTCCAATCATATTTTTGATTGTGGAATTACTAATTCAAAGGTTGTGAACTTTTTAGGGCACATTTTTGTTGAGTAGAGTCCTGTCCACATTTTACACATGAGGAAACTGAGTCTCAGGGAGTTGGGACACTTAGTCAAGGTTTGGTTATACCTGTTGCCACATTCCTTTCCAAAAAGAGTGTATCTTTGTTTTCGATCATGTCTTACACTCTTTTTTCTTCATGGAGTGTATTGACATATGATTTGTTGTCATTTGGTATCTAAAAAGGGTAGTTGTTTTATTTTGTAAAAGCAAATGTTCCTTGATTTTTTTTTTTTCTTTTTTGATTTTTCCTCTTCTCTGAGTCACATTCTTTGTTTTCTTAGGCCTTTGACATATCCCCAATTTGAGTTTGCTTTCTGCCAGCAGAGAGGATGAGAGAGACTTTACAATGCCCCAATACTGTATTCACAGTAAGCAGGGCCTTCTACTGGGGCTGCTAAAGACAGGACCATTCATGTTGTTCCATTTGCTGTTGGTCTCATTTACTCCGGGGGTCTCCATGGGCTGCAGAGCAGCAAATGGCCCTCCTATGGATCCTTTTCTTGGCATAGTAACTGTAGTTAATGTTGGTGGCTATTAATCATGGTTATTGATTAGGCTGAAATCACCACTGAAATTCTCTCATAATCTACAATTCACCAGTCTTTAAGAACAATAAATTGGTGCCGTGTGGCACCAGGCTCTTGCTCAGCATGTGAAACACAAGCCCTACAGTCAGGAGATTTATGCTGCCCATTAAAGTGTGCTTGTCCATAATCTTTTTCAAGACTGCCTGTAACAGCCTTCTCATCCCTCCCCATAGGATCCACACTCAGCGCCACTGAGCAGGTTTGTCACCAGTGTGAGCTCAGCCAAGCTGATCCTGGAAGAGGCCTCCAGGCTGCTAAAGCTTCTCTGGAGAGTCTCACTCCCCACTCATGGCCTGTGCACCCTTCACTGTGAGCAGGTAGGTGTTGATACATGATTCAGGCTCAAGGATGCCAGGGGGCCTGTGTCTCAGTCTCTTCTATGCCCAGCCCAGCCCAGGCCCACAGTAGGTATGCCCTCTGTTTGTGTATGTGTCAGGGGGAGGGGAGGGCAGGTTTGTAATGGTTTCCCTGTGTTCTTACCCGATTCCCCCACACTTTGTGAGCTCAGCCTGCAACCCTGACCCATCTGTGTCCCATTTCAAGCACATCTTTGTTGAGTAGAGTTCTGTCCACATTTTACACATGAGGAAACAGTCTCAGGGAGTTGGGACACTTAAACCAAGTTTGCAGAGCTTGTTTGGAAGTATAAGTACCTGAGTCCAAAGTTTATTCTTTATTTTCTAGGCATTCAGTCCCATTTATCCTCATGGGCTTGCTCATTCTTTTCTACTCATAATTCCTTTTCAATTTAGTCACTTTTCTCTGGACCTTCTGGTTCCTCTTGATAGCTTCCAACATCATATGTGAGTGGGCCTTGTTCAAAATCTGTTTTAACTACTTAGGAATGACAAGCCCCGAATTAGGAGTCAGGCAGAGTGGAAGCTGTCCCTGCTTTCTTTCTGTGGGATACTTGTGGTGTTATGACAAGGCGAGTACCCACTCTGGCTAATCAGAAAAACTGCCCTGGACTAAGACACATGGCAGGTTAAGGATGAGTTAGAACTCTCTGCTTGGTGGCCCCTTTCTTTATATAACCTGTACTTTTTTACCAAAGGCCAGTAGAAAGGTGGGAGGGAAATTTGCATTCTATGTCATCATCTCATTTAGTTAAACCCCTTTGACAGCTCTCAGATCTCTCAGTCATGGCCATGAAGTAGCCAGTGGGGCAGCCCTCTCTGCTCTGAAAGTTCTAATGAGCCTGTCCTAAGAGTTCCTTCTTGGGATTCTGGGCGTGAAGTTTGGATGCACTAAACTCAGGGAAGTTCATAACTATTCATTGCATTAGAAAATCATTCTTTGCCCACTTTTAGTTGGTAGGAGTGTCAGATGGAAGACAGAGTGTCAGGGAGAAAGGGTGGGCCTCACTGGGTTCCAGCCCCACATTGGCCTTTCTTTTCTTAAAACTTTCCAAGCTCTTTTCCATCTTAGGCTTAGGTGATATGGATGATCTGACTGCCTGAATGTCCCATGCTCCCCTCCTGGTTGACTTCTCACTTTTCAAGTCTTAGCTTAAATGTTACTTCAAAGTCAGAGGTCTCCCCGATCCCTCAGTCATAGTGTCCTTTTTTGTTTTGTCATAGCCCTTTTCATAAATTATGGATTTATTTGTTTAATGTCTGTCTTCCTCTGTTTTTCCTCCAGAGAATCCTGTCTGTTTGTTTATACTTTTGAATGAATGGTTTCTTCCCATACTTCAAACTAGTACTTGCCTCATATAATTTTTAAAGCAAACATGTCTGAACTAAACAATTGACTTTCAATGTAGTATGTTTGTCCATAGCACACAGTAGTAAGTGTTAAATAGACAGGATACAGTTCTTTATATATATATAATAGATATTATTTATAAATACACTTGAAAAGTATTGCTACATTGATCCTGTCTCACTTGCAAATAGTCCAGGGGAGGTCTGTGCTCATGATGATTTACCCCTTCTTTCCAAAAGTTTCTTGGGTGATTAATTGCACTCACTTTAGTATCATAGATGTGTAGGGCCAAAAGAAGCACCTTTGAGACGCTCCAATGTGGCTGCTGGTGTGCAGCCCCCCTGTGTGGTGCTGAATAGCCTCTAGCCACTTTTCTGTCACTTCCCATGTTTCATACTGTGCCTTTGCTTGGTGTGAAATGTGTATAATGCAGATGTCCATGTTTTCACCAGCAGCCTCAAGGATATTTTTGTTTTTTAACTATCTGATGTTGTCTCTTGTCATTAGTTTGCTTTTTTGCGTTTAATATACCATCCCATGCAGTCCATGGGGCAGCTCTGGGAAGTGTGTATCTTGTGCATCAGTTTATCTAAGAAAGTTGTGGGGGGGGATACAGATGTATACACATGCTTGCTTATAACAATTTTTTAAATGGAAGATAGGCAGTAGCAAAGCAGGCTACTTGTAAGGGTGGGGGAAAAGAGATTGGAGGGGCAGGGATAGAAAATAGATTTCTTTGAATAGACCTTGGTTTGTAGATTTGACTTTGCAACTGTCTAAATGCAATATGTAATTATTTTAAAATATCAAAATGGGAAAGGAAGCAATTTCTGAAAACTCATGGCAAAATGAAGCAAACAACCTTACTGTATATGGCATTGGAGGCATAATGGCACAAAGAGGAAGCATGTCAATGACTAAGGCAGAGTCATTTGACCATGCCTTTCTAGTAGAATTACTCTAAGGGCAAAAAAATTTTTTCAACTGTTTTTAGTGGTTATGTTGTTAGTAATCATATTGATATTGATACTCTGAACTGTTATTATGTTTCTATTATAGGATAAAATAGCAATTTCATTAGGAATTGAGATTTTTTACTATAATAGAAAAGAGCTACAAAATCAAAGAAATTAAAAACCCTGTCATCCTAAATATGAATTGCAAATATTAGTGTGAACTTGCGATATATTTTCTGTTAAAAAATGTACAAACTTTCTCCACATAAAAGGCTTTAGAAACAATGTCCTAATGCCCAAATTGTGGTTTCTAAATACCTTTTCCCAATGAAAGGATCTAGGGCTCCTTGGAGAAATCGCCTGCTCCTAGTTCTGGCACAGGAAATGTACAATCTGAGCTTAGAACATGTTTCATCCTAGTAAGAGAGGATCTGGAGTGGGGGTGTGGGAGAGAGCCCTATGGATTTATAGCACCTAGAAACTTGTCGAAAATGTAAACTCATAGGCCTCACTGAGACCTACTGAATCAGAAACTCTGAGAGTGAGCTCCAGCAGTCTTTTTTTAGGACTCTAGGTAGCTTTAAGAACCACTGGATTAAAAGAAACTCAAGGGATAATCAAATGTGGATCATATTTGGATCCTGAAGCAAACCAATTGTTTTAAAAAACCAAATTATGAAGCAATCAGGGAAATTATTCACTGACTCCAATTGGTGGTGTTAAGGAAATTATTGTCTTATTTTAGGTGTAATAATGATACTGTTTTGGGTATTTTTTTAAAAAGAATCTTTTTTTTCTAGTGATACACACTAAATATTTTATAGATGAAATTATTTGGTTTCTAGGGTTGGGTTCAAAATCATCTTGGGAAGAGAATGAACAGGAATGCAGAAGAAACAAGTGTGGCCATGAATTGATAATTGCTGAAGGTAGACAGGCATCTGGGGGTTCATTATCCAATTCTTTCTACTTTTGTAAATATTTTGGAATTTTCATCATCAAAGGAAGACAAACAAACAAAAACCTCCTGCCCCCAAAGGGAGGCAGAACACTGCTGAAGACACTGCTGAGAGTAGCAGCTCCCATCTCAGTGCTGGGCTATGGGTTCAGAAAGGGTCATTCTGGTAAGCTAGGTAGCAGGCTCCCTTTTGCACTTGGCATTTCATTTGCTACCTAATCCCAGGGAGTTAGCTATTATTATTCCCATTTTCCAGAGGTAGGAACTGAAACCCCCAGAAGTTAAGTGACATGTTCCAATATCATATAACAAGAAAGCGGTGGAGCTGTGCTTTGGAGCCCTGCTGTTTTTACCAAATAGCATATTCATCCTGTAGAAATGAAGATTTGAATTCAGTGGAACAGCAGATGCATAAATAACTAAAATTTCTTGTTTTTCTGGATAGAATATGTATAGGGTGTTAGGAGAGCACTTGTGAAAATTAACCCTCCAGTCAGTAAATGGTATCACAACACTTGCTCTGAGCTGGTGACCAGAGGGAAGAAATGAGCTTGTAGGCCACTGTGACATGGGCAGTGATAGGGAAACACTAAGCGCCATGGGCACCCCAGGAGCAGCAGCCAGCCTACACTCTGATGGGGAAGGGGTGTCAGATAAAACTTCCTTGAGGAAGAGACACCTGAGCTGAATTTATAAAGAGGGGTAAGGTATCCAGGCAGGGTTTAAAATGGTTGTTCCTCCTGTCTCCATCATCTTATTTGATTCATCTTATTTGAATCTCACTCTACTGTTAGGGATTCTAATTCTGATTTTACAGATGTGCTGCCAAGGCTCTGACTGTAGAGAGACTTTGTCCTAGAATGTGTGGCCCCAGAAGCCATGGCCAGAGCCTCAATCTTTGTGGGCTTTTAACCTGAGGAAGAGAATCAAAGCAAACCTAATGTTTAAAATGAGGGTCTGTTTGGGAAGAACCATTGAAGTCCTTGTACCTGACATGACTGCTTAATCTTAAAAGTAGGTTAAGTCAGGGAATCAAAAACTGATACGTACCTTAAACATTTTAGTTTAACTTAAAACAGATAAATGTACATTCATTTGCCATTCTTTTGATGTAGGGCCAGGGCCTTTTCTTTGAATATGGGTCTGCTGATTAGAGTTCCACATCTTCTCTCTTTCATAAACTACATCCATAATGTATGTCTGTCACTTCCAATTTCTGTTTCTTTAAGATGAAGAGAAAACTTAGACACTTGCAAAGCAATTTGAATATAGAATTCTTCTAGACTATGTTCCTCCTACATCTTTTATAGTTGTCTCACCCACACCTAATTTGCCAGAAATGTTTTTTAGTGACTTGCTTTTATCAAGTCTTTCCTGAAGCATATGTTAGTTTTCATACAGCGAGTTCTCTCTTTTAATACACATATTTCATAGGCTTACTTAATATTTAATTAAATTATTCAGTTTTGCTACAAGTACAAATATTGTAAACAAGTTTTCATTAGCTGCTAACTCACCATCTCCCCTCTTGGGAGCAGAGGTGTTTCAGTGTAGCAGGGAGCAGCCTGTGCCCAGGTGTTTTACTGAGAGAAAGACAGTGTCCTTAACTCTGTGAGCTGGTTTGGTGGTTTGGTGGAGACCCTAGTGTGTGTATGTCATGTCAGAGCACTAGGGACTTCTGAAAAACCAAAATAGGTTCTCCTAATGGATCATTCTCTCCTAATAATACTTCTATACGATTTTTTGGGTAAAGTTTTAAACATTTAAAAAATCTTGAATTAGCATTATAGGTTTTGTAAAAAAAAAACCAAACATTTGAAATTATGTTTGTCAGAGATAATTGCTGTTAATGTTTTGGTGACATCTCAGTGTACATCTATGGATGTGGTGGAGTATGTATTCAGATTCAGTTTTTTGGAACAGGAATGCCTGATCATGGTATGCGTTGTTCTGGGCTCTTTTGTCACCAACTGTGGTCTAATTTTGATATCAATAAATAGAGGCCTACAACATTGTTTTTAAGAGCTGCAAAATTATTTTATTATATGTGAGTACCAGAATTTATTTATCCAGATCCATATTGAAACACATCAGGTTGTTTCTTTCTTCCTACATGAACATTGCTGAGACAAACATCCTTGTACATAGGCATCTTCTTATGCTTATGTTATTATTCCTTGGAATAAATGCAAAGTGTAGAATTGCTGGGTCAAAGAGTTAAGTGCATTTTACAATTTGGTAGATCTTGCCAGGGCATTCTAGCTGAGCTATGCCAACTTACCGTTCTACCAGCAGTCATGAAGGTGCTTATTCCCCTCACCGTCACTGGATTTTGTCCAATTTTGCCAATCTGATCGGCAGAAAAAGTCTTCTCGTTTTTATTCAAATATTTTTGTAAGTGAGGTTGAAGATCTTTTCATATGTTTTGATAATTCTTCCTATGTAATATGACATTTTATATTCTCAGTTCATTTTTCTAATTTTTTTATCTTTAGATTGAAGAAATGAAGGCAGAGATTGCCAACCTACACAATAAATTGTCTGAACAAGAAAGGAAGTTGCAAAACTCTGTGAAACTTTTGCAGCTGAGCAAGCACCAGGAAAAAGTCATCTTTGATCAGTGTAAGTATGTGGTGGGTAGGGGGTAACTACCAGTTCTGACCTCTTCCTGCCTTGAGGGCAGACAGTCCGGCCCTGGATTGCAGACCATTTGTAAACATGCCTCCTGTTTTGGGTTTATTTTCATACTTCATCCTTTCTTACTGACACGGACAAATGTATTCACGTAGACCTTTGTAGAGTGACCTCTTGGTGCCAGGAACTGGCATCTCATTGGGGAGACAACTGTGTGGCATGTGCAGTGATAGGTACATGCAGAGCACTGGGGTGGGAGTTGGGGCATCTTAGAGGAAGTGATAACCGAGCTGAGTCTAAAAGGAGCAGTAGGCATGGTCAGATGGAAATGGGAGTGGCAGTCCAGGTAGGGAGCAGTGTCAGAGGCATAGAAGCAAGAAGAAATATGGTTTTGCATGTGAGAAACCAAACCTGTTGGTGGGGTAATAGCTGCAAGTGGCAGGTTGAGGCAGGAGGGCATGGGGGAACCAGGGACTGCGTTGTGAAAGGCCTTCAGTGGCAGGCTCAGAACAGAGGACCGACCTGTCACATGTGCATGCAAGAACAGCTTGCTGGTGGCTGCTCCACCAGTGAGGAAGAGCTGATTCAGTCAGACAGGAAAGGAGGAGAGCCTTGCCCAGGACAATGGGGATCCAGAGGGCGTGAGTCAGAAATACTTCTCAAGGCCAACACAGAAACTCGAGGTTGGAGAGGGGAAGTCACTTTTGTAAGGTCAGTCCCAGCTCTCATCTCACCACTTTGGAGATTATGTGGGAGGAGCTCCATTTCCTGGTCTAAACCCTCAGCTCTCCCTTTCCTTAAGAGTTCAGAGGAGCAGGCAGTAGCTGAGTTTCCATTAGTGCCTCTTGGCAACACGGCCCTGGCTAAGCCTGTACTGTCTGTCAGTTTCCCTGTCTTAGGAGAACTGCTGACTATAACGCTTTCCTCTTTGGAGGTGCCAGCCTTCCTTATGCTGCTCTCTTATCAAAGTTCATCGTTTCTGGGGCATTTCTGAGAAGCACAGAACATAGATTATTGCCAAGTAGTTCTCCTTAGCCACCCCTTAGGAGCCTTCTCAAAATAGACTCTGCAGAGTTTGAGCCACAGAAGGGAATAGCTCAGCCACTGAGCAGCCACTGAGTTCCTATTCTTTGCCCACCTGCCACCCCCATCACGCCAGGCTCTGAGGACACAGGTGAATAAGACAGTTCCTGCCAGTGAGGATCTGGGGCTTAATGGGAGGAAACACAAAGATTAACTGTGGGACGATGTGCTGAGTGCATCCAGGAGGCCTGAGTGTTGGCTTAAGGCTCTGGTTCAGGGTAATTCAAGACTGATTGGGTCTTGAGAGATAAGTAGGAGTTAGTCAGACAGTGAAGGGGCAGGAACAGGATTCTGGTAGATGGCCTCATGGCCTTGCAGCCACACTCCCAGAGGCGACAGAAACTGAATGTTCAGGGACATATTTAGGACGTGACAAGGCTTTTCTTATGAGAACTGAGTGAGAAGTACAAGTAGAAACCAGGCTACAAGGAGCCTTGTGGACCAAACTCCAGGATAAGCATTAGAAACTGATGTAGTCCATTTGTGTACTAGAAGATCCCATGGCTGAGTTTGGAAAGACTAGGAGGCAGAGGCCAGTCTCCTTAGCCATTATTATTCCCATTTTCCAGAGGTAGGAACTGAAACTCCCAGAAGTTAAGCAACGTGTTCCAGCATCATATGGCAAGGAAGTGGTGGGACTGTGCTTTGTAGCCCTGCCATTTTTACCATAGCATATTCATCCTAAGCAAGCAGTGGGGTAGGCCATGGAAGAGAGGGAGGTGGTTTTGAATGATAGTAAGGTCAACCCAACAGAGTGGTGGATGTCTGTGGGAGTCTAGCTGAGGCTCGTAGGGAAAAGGATCACTGGAGGAGACCTGGGGGTTGTGTTGAGGTAGCTGTGGAATATTTGAGTTAGGCTCTTGGAGCAGCAGAGGGTTGAGAAGTGATGCCCTATAAAGCCCCCTAGTCCAGGAAAAGGAAAAGGTAGAACTCTAGAACTCTGCATTGGCATCTCTCCTCCTCAGCAGCCCAGTTCTTGGTAGTCACAGCACATGTGTAGTTAACCCTGTTGACAGGTGAGGAAGTTGCAGAAGTCAGTTCAGATGGGTTAAGTGTGTGGCAGGTCCAGGGAATGGAACCCAGGCCCTGTGTCCTAGGCCAGTGGGCATGGAATGACTGAATGAGCACAATTCAAATCTCTACTCTCCTGGGTGACCTGGATTAAATGACATCAACTCTGAGCTTTAGAGTCCTCATCTCTAACTGGGACAGTAATTCCAAAGGACTTAGACTGGCCAGATGGGCCTGGGTTCTCACAACAACTTGATGAAAAGTACCTCAGTTTTCTTGTCTGTTAAATAGGGATGATAAAGCTACCCAAACTGGATTGCTCTTAGCATAGTGCCTGGGGCAGAGCAGATGCTCAGCAGGCGTTAGTTCTCTTCCTCTTTCTTTCCACCAGGCCAGGCCAGATCCTACGTGTGAGGGGGCAAATCACTCACAGTAAGGAGAACCGCAAGTGTCTCAAAGCATTTCCCGTCCTGAGATGATGCCCCCAGCTCCATTTCTCCATGCCTGGCATGGCACAGGCCCAGCCAGAGCAGGGTTAGAGGCCTGGCCCAGGTTGCACAGCTGATCCAGGCTTGCGACTCCACCTGTGCCAGGCTCCGCAGCTCATCCAGGTCCTTGGAAATTTTCCAAGCCCTGCCAGCCTCACAGATGTGCTCTGGCTCTAAAGTGACTAAATGTAGGTGGGCATAGTGTCTTCTCTTCCTCCTTCCCCTCATGGTGACAGGGAAGAACAAGGGCCAGGGCTGGTCCTAGCCTGGTCAGGCTGACCCCATATCTCCTTCCAGAGTCTACAGGGGGGAGTAAGGACAGGGCATCTCAGGGAGACCCAAGGACCCTGCCACTCACTGACTGGCCACAGGACCTGGAACTACCCACTTCACTTCCAAGCTTCAGGTCATTATTTGTGAAGTGAAGGCAGGGGTATTCAGTGAGGTCCCAGTTGACAAACTGTGCCTGACACCAGGTGGTTCCCACTCAAGTCAGTACCTTCCTTCCAGCACTGTGCCGAGGTGGGAAGAGCCGTGAACTGCGTTGGGCAGACCTAGGTGTGAGTCACATCCCAAGGCTGGGGCAAGTCTTGGTTTGGGACGAGTCATTTCTCACTGTGTCCCTTAGTCTTCTTGCAGTGTGATTTCTGTTTGTGAGAAAGTAGGCAGTGCTGTTCAGGTGTAGGGGCCTCTTCAAAACTTGGCTAAGTGATCCTCTGCTTTTCTACTATAAGTAAGGCTTTTGTTTTCTAGGTATATTCAGTACTCTTTCACAAGTATGGTTAAGGTTCACAGCCATGATCTTTTATGGGTCACAGGCTGCCCCTTGGTGAACCTCAAGAGAGCTATGGTCTCTCTCCCCAGAAAAATGCATATATCCATGTACACATGTGCTCGTAGTGTCTGAGATTTAGGTTTCTCCAGAGCGTATCCTTGGTCCCAGGCTAAGAACTTCTGTCCTGCAGCAGGAGTTGGGAGTGAGAGCAGAGAGGCAGTGGCCATCTCTGAAATTTGTTCTGCTCAGTTACAAACAAAGCCCACACTGTCTGTCCCTTTCCCAGTGTCACAGATTGCAAATAAACTTCATTGCCTCCAGATGGAAAGTTTTGTAAGGCAAGAAATAAACATTTTCCCAAGGCCACCACACAGCACCTATTCTGAGTAAGCCACTGGGGAGTTGGGCTGTGTGTGTTGGGCATGAGTCTGTTTCAGCATCGGGTGTTGTTGGCCAGAGGTCAGGCTTCGAAGTCTTGTTTCTGAGTAGCAGCTGATTTCCTGACCCACACCAACTCCTCTTGAGAACAGGTTCCCTCTCAGGTTCAAAATCTGATTGAGTGGTACTCCTGCTGCTGGACCTTATGTTGTGCAGGAGGCTTAGAGGAGATGTAGCCTTACTTCACGGTTGCTCCCCTGAGAGGCAGGATTTGCCCACTCCTCCTGGGAGTTTTGATGCACTGGGGATCTGCACAGCACACAGCTCAGAGTGTCTCTGAAGCCATCCCATCCAGCCTGTTCCATCCGCAGAATGTGTCTTGCCCAGGGGAGCCGTGTCAGGCTTTTCTACCAGCTAGAGGGCAGGTGAAGGTGAAGAAAAGTACCCAGAGTTCTTTCTCCCAGGCCACCAGGAGCTGGCTCTAAGAGCTACTGTATAAACATTTGGCGTTCTAGAACTTGGGCATCCACATGTGGGTCTGCCTGGAGTGGAGTGCACAGCTGCTTCTCAAGGGCCCAGGAAACCAAAGAATGCTGAGTCCTGACACCAGGCCCAGGCCTCTACTCTCCCTTTGCCATTGCCCTCCTGGCTCACCCTCCTAGAGGCGAGCCCAAGGGACACCTGGGAAGCCAGGTGGCCATGCAGAGGCTTGGTTTGTCTTCTGTGAAATGGCATGGCATACTCTGCCCTCTGCATTGCTGTGAGGTCATGACTTAGTGAGGCCTTGAAGAGGTGTCTCTGGTCTGCCCTTTCCGATGGATCATTTGGTCCTGGGGTGTGTCGTGGGACAGATGGGGCCTTCATGCCTCCCTTTGGTCCAGATGCTACAGACAACATGTTGTCCCCATGTCTGAACCCTTGGGGGTGAGGGCTCCTTCCTGCACTTGGCTTTCACACTGCCCTTCTGGACCTCCCTAATCAGCCCACTCTTTGCTCTCTCCTCAGTGGTCGTAACCCACAAAATCCTGCGGAAGGCCAGAGGAAACCTGGAGGTAATGCCCTTTTGAGTTTTTCTTCACTGCAAGCCATTTGGGGGTAGGCATAGGACAGGGCCAGAAAGGAGTTATTTTGAAGAATGAAGTTGCAGGTGAAACCAGGGGACATGTTCTCCACAAAGAGGTGAAATTTTCTGCCAGTGTGCATAAAAAATTTCATTTTATCATGTCACGTCATCTGTGGTGGTTCTAATTTTTAAATTTGTGTGCTATTTTTTTTTTAACCAGTGAGAGATATAGCAAACAGTGCCTGGCACATAGTAGGCATTTGATAAATATTTATTGAATGAATGCAGCATGATCTCATTGTCCTTTTATACTGTAAATATTTACTGATCAAACAGTATGTCTTTGAAAGTGGCTTTAGAATAACAGTCTTGACTTTAACTCTGTCTGGAATCTTCAGAAACCTCCATGGATTTAAAATTCTTTTTTTTTTCTCCTTCCCAGCTTAGGCCTGGAGGTGTCCATCCAGCAACACCCAGTCCCAGCAGACCAGGCTCCTGAGGAGAACTTGCAGCCAATAAAGCTTGTGGTTTCCCCACTACCTCACACTGTCTTTTTGTTCCAAGTGCGGTTCCTATTTATTGAGGAAGAAAGAGCTGTCTGGCCAAAGGAACTCTTTTTTTTTTTTTCCTTAATGTTTTTCTTCTGACCGTTGTCAAAAAAGCTCAGGTGCCATGCTAAGCCCTGCACTCGTGGATGCTGTGTTTAGACCTGAAGCAGATACCTGGAGCTGAGGCTGTACCCCTTGGTGGGCTTCATGTCTCCCCCAGATTTGCTTAGTATGCAGCCAGGACCATAGTGCGAAGGTTCTTATTAAGTGATTCATCTGATTTCAACTTGATGATGCAGTTGTTTTGTGTGCAACCTCCAGGCCCAGGTCCCCAAATCCCAAGTGGGACAGACTAGGGTCCCCAGAGCTGCTTGGCCCTCAGAATTGCCCTGAGCTCACTGCTGAGCCCACTTGGGTGTCCAGAGAGGAGCAACCCATGCAGCCTGGCCATAGCACTGGCATGTAGTTGGCGACTCACAGTCATGTTGGAGAGCAGCCCTTGAGGTGGTGCCATTCCCACTTTAGGGAAGAGCAAATGAGAGCCAGAGCTGCTGCACCCTGGCATTTACACTGTCCCCATGATGAGTGTCCTGTCCACTCGCAGTCCACATTGCTGTCTGTGCACTGGCTTACTGAAGGCCTGTTGTGACCATGTTCAGGCATTCTTTACCTCTGATGCTGGTGACGGTGTCCCTGAGAAGTAAACAGGTTAGGGCTTGGCGCCATTCACAGATGAGGCTCAGGACTGGCCCGTGTGCCCCTCAGTGGTTGTGACAGACTAGGACTTCACAGCCATTCTTGGATGTGGCGCCATACCACTCGGCCCTGCTCTTTCTGCCTCTCAGCCCTGTTCTCACCACCAGCTGCCACAGAGCAGGTTCCAACCAGGTACATTGGCTTCGTTCACACAGCCCACAGTAGGGAGCATTCTGATCCTGATTCAGTCTTCCTTTTCATCCCCCCCCGCCACGCCCCCCATCATTCTGGGGACTTGCACATCCATTCGGGTGACCCCTCAGCTTGTTGCCCTCTGTAATCACTTTCTGACATTTTGCCTTCTGTCCTGCCAGCTTGCTCACTGCCTCATCCCCTCTCCTGCCTTGATCTCTTGGAGGTCCTGGTCCCTGGTCCCTTGGTCTTCTCCGTGTCACCTTGTCTTCACTTCCCTTTCTGTCTAGCTTGTGAGTTCCCACTTCCACACCCAAATCCCTCCTCCACCCTACAGCTGCCAAGATGTTAAGAAAAATCACATCTGATCAGGACACCGTTCTGTTCAAAACTCTTTAGTGGCTTCCCACTACCCTTGGATACAAGCAAGCAAGTTCAGTTTCCCAGGCTGTGCACCAGGCACATAAGAGTAAAGTAAAGCTTGTGGTTTCCCCACTACCTCACACTGTCTCTTTGTTCCAAGTGCAGTTCCTATTTATTGAGGAAGAAAGAGCTGTCTGGCCAAAGGAACTCCTTTTTTTTTCCTTAATGTTTTTCTTCTGACAGTTGTCAAAAAAGTTCAGGTGCCATGCTAAGCCCTGCACTCATGGATGCTGTGTTTAGACCTGAGGCAGGTACCTGGAGCTGAGGCTGTACCCCTCAAGCTTGGGGTGGCAGGGGAGGATCCGCTTTGATTGTGGTACATCTCAGGCCCGTGTGGTTAGTGAACCCAGGCGAGCCTGGAAGTAGGGCCTGCAGAGGAGGGAGCTCTGGAAGGCCTGCCAGCCATTTGCTTCGGGTCACCCATAGCTTTTCAGGACCATGGTAATCCAAAACAAAGTGTATTTTTATCCCCCAGTTTAGAGTCGTGTAAAATATTTCCAACCTTGAACTGGTACAGGCTCTTCCTCTTCTGGGAGGTGGAGGTGCAGCCTGGTTTGTTTGGGCTGGATTAGGGCCAAGAACAAACTCTGCAAATAAGACAATTTGGACCTTGGAAAAAGCTCCATTGTCCCCGGTGAGTTAATTTTAACAGCAGCTGAATTCAGGAGGCTTTGAAGCAGTAATCAGAAAATGCGTCAATTTTCCGTCGGTGAAATTAATCACCATGTGTGCTGAAGGAGCTGCACCTGAAAGAAACAGCTGCGGAGCTAAGTATATAGTGAAAAAGGGATGGGGAGAGAGGCCCAGGGTGCCCTATGTGCCCCACTTTGGGAAAGGCACTTTGGTCTTCTGAAGACCACTGAGCCCAAAGGGTAGAATCTGGGCCCCTTCAGGCCAGCACGCTCCTGGATAGCAGTAGCCACGCTACATCATCTCACTAATCTGCATCACCCTCCCCGTTTTATAGACGAGAAAGTTGAGGGATGGAACCAGGGTTTGAATGTGAGTCTGTTAAAACCTGTCCTCTGAATTATCCTGTCCCCTGAAATGCCATCTATTAGAAAAACTGCAGCCTTTCCCTGCATTACAAACCAAAGGATTCTCACCCTACCCTTTCCAACAAAACATCTCAACCAGAGCAGGGGCCCAGAGACCCACAATTGAATTCCTCAACACAACATCTCTGAGAACTGCTTGTAAATGGGCCGTGGACAGGAGAAAGAGTGATCTTGTTAATAAGTTCTCGGCATTGTGGAGGCTGAGAAACCTGCCTGGGGGATCCAGTCCTGCCAAATTGCCTCTTCAATCTTGGCTATATTTTAAGTCTAACTCAAAAATGCAATTATCAAAATTACTCATCCGGTCTCCTGAGAAATCCAGGACTCTGTCTGCCTCAAGAGCCAGATCAGTTTACCTCTTGCCACAGATGGGGCCTTCCCAGCTCACTCTGCTTGGTGCAAGTTGGGTTGGGTGTGGGCAGATCCAGAGACCCAGGCCCTTGCCCTGGGCCTCAGAGGGCTCCTGATAGAACCAATGTCAGTTTCCTTGTCTGCAAAAAGTATGAGCTGTGGAAAGACAAAGATATATACTGGCTAACTGTGAGGCCCGGACATTGGCCAAATTGCTGGGACGTATTGGTTCACTTCAGTGGAGTTACCAGCTAGAGACATCCTTGCACCTCCCTCCTCACCCTCCATATCCCGTCCAGATCAGGACCACGTTATCCACATTGATTTCCCACTTCGTTCATCTGCACCACCACCTTGGTCCAAGTGGCCATTGACTCTCCCTGCACCACTTCCTGCAATAGCTTCCCAGTTGGCTGCCACACACCCACGCCATCCTCTCCAAACATCCACCATGCCACAGCTACAGAGATTCTTTACAAGGCAAAGCAGGTCACATCATCCCCTGGTTTAACACGTGGACTGCCTCTCGCTGTACCTGGCATGACCGCAGGCCAGCCCTGCCCTTCCTTTCTGTTTCTGGATGCCCATCCACTCAGCTACCTTTGCTCTATCTAGCCTCTTAGCCTTTCCCCTCTGGCCAGCAGGCCAGCATGTGCTGCCACTTGCCCGGCGTGCTCCCACCTGGCTTCTCTTCCCCAACAGGATCCCCTGTGCCATACTGTCACTTCCCTCGCTGTGACGATCCTCCCTCACTGGCACTTTGCTGCTGTGACTTTCGGTTGTGCATGCTAGTGTGATTTGGGGGGTCCATGAGGGCACAGAGCCTGTGAGATTTGCTCACCCCACCAGCCCTGCTGCCTGGCACAGCGCCCACAAATATACTCGCTCACTGACCATTTCCAGAGCTGCTCTCACTCCTGGGAGAATTCAGACTGTGGGAAGATCAGACAAGTGATGCTGCTGGTGGGGAAGCTGGTTCAGGGGGTTCTGGGAGTCTGGCCATCTTCAGAACATGATCACAGGCACTCCTTGTGACCACCCTGCGGGGAGGAGGGACTGCTTTCTTCCCCAGTGAAGGATGGTCACAGAGTCACGGGGCCAAAACAAAGGGCCAGTAGGCCGTGGAGCTGGATTCGTATGGAGGCCACAGACTGTGGAGCCCAGGCTCCCTGCCACACCGCGTGCCAGCACAGGTCAGCACGGTGAGGGCTCCAGGCAAGGTGGCTGGAGCGCAGTCCACACTGGCAGAGTGCTGCTACTTTCTGCCTACTCAGAAGGTTCCTGCCTGTGACCCTGCTCCTGGAGTGGCTGGTCTCTGCCACTTCCTGGGCCTCCGTCTCCCCATCTTCCATGGGGGACAGCAGACAGAGTTGCCTCTGACTGATCCTTTTAGACCCTCTGTACTCACCGTTGCCCAGGTCCTGTCTGCTCTGTTCATGTTGACCCATCCTTGGAAGGCTGCTGCCCTCGCCTGACCGCAGAGGGCAGCACTGGGCAGGCGAGCCCCTCCCACCAATTCACAGCGTGAATAACCCACGGGGTGGCTATGCCGCCTCCCCACACGCTTTGCTCTCAAATGCGTAATCACGCCTTCTTAACAGGTATTCACAGGAGAGCTTAATTACGTATTTTCAGGTTTTAAAAGATCCTCTGTTTGTATTAATGCCACTTTCTCCTTCCAAACAGAACAGTGTGTGGTCCCAGCTCATTTGTGACAATGGATGATGGTGATGGCTGACACGGGGAAAGAGAACTGGGTCGCCGGGGCCTCTCCCTCCTCTTCAGCCAAAACCATAGTGGGTTGGGGGCCATGGATGGGGGTGACCAGGCACAAGTCTCCTTGTGGTTGGAGCCAGCAGCTGGGAGCCCAGCTGGGGTGTGGGACAGGGAAACACTGGTAGGGGTGTGGATATGCAGCATAGGAAGGTATTTGGAGACATTCACTTTTATCAAAGTCAACATTTGCAAGCACCTACCTTTGTCCAGAGCTGCCAGATCCGGTGTATGCGCCAAGGAGCCTCCAAGGACAAGGGTCCCTGCCTTGGAGGTGGGCAGGAAGGTGCCCTGGGGTGAGCCAACTGGGAATCTGTGGGGTGGAGAAGGGGAGAGGGGCTCCAGGCAGAGGAAACTCCCTGGGCAAAGGCCAGCAACTGGCGCGTTGGCCTGGCTGGAGCTTAGCATCCAGTCAGTGGCATTGACAGGGCCTTGGTGCCAGTGTGAGGCAGGTGGGCTTCATCGGAGCAGCAGGAAGAGACTTGGGTAGATTTGGGT